ATGGGCGCACTGGAAGCATGACGCAAACATCACGCTACAGCAGATGTACATGGACGCCGCCCGCCCGCTTCGGCTGCCGCTCGCAGACTTGATCAATGATCTACGCCAGGACACCGCGGGCACAACGAGCAGCACACGAGTGGCCCACCGGTGCTGCTGCCCACCATCTGCGCACGTGCACGCCTCCGCCTAGCTTTTCGTACCCACGCCGGCTGCTGGTGCCCCCAGCCATAGACCACGTACTGCCAGCTATTCGTCGTTGTGGCCTATCACCACACCCTGCCACGACGCCACACTTGAGAGCGTACGCGGGCAACATGTGCGCACATGTCACGACAACCGGCGCATCAGGCGTTGCCAGTGGTTGCTTGGCGTCCACCAGCGCCATGCACACTCGGGACAACACCGAGCACTGTCACATCAGCGCGTCGGCGTCGCCGTTCTCCCGCACGCGTTCGCGAAGTTCCAAAGATTGGGGTTATGGCGCGCGCCGCAGTGCGCTGCAGCACGGGTGCAATTACTGCCCGCTCTGAAGAATCATGCTACTGAGCCCCAGTAAAGCCAGAAAAGAGCACGGCACAGATGGTCCACTTTCTTTGAGAAAAACCCAGCAGAACCACAAAATCGAAGGGGTTGCAGCAGGGCTCCACGGCGAAGGCCACTGCAAGTTAGTTTTGTCGGACTAGCGCATAGACTCAGACGGGGAGGGTGGTAGAGACGACTGATGTGGCAGTCGGCATTGGCGGCATGTGTGACCAGTCACTTGATCGGGAGTCTGTGTATGAGAACAGCGCCGTTCACTTTCCTGGCGTCCTCTGCCTCAAATACGGAAGATTCCGAAGTGCCGGGTCTTTTTAAGCACCACGAACCGCATCTTTTTCCAAAAGATCGAATTAGCAAGCTGAAAAGAATATGAGAACATGAAAACCGCCATATTCCGAGAGATTCAGAGCTCACCTTTGTAAATTCTGACCGGTTTCGGGAAGGAAAACGCGAACCAACCAATATTTGACACTCAGACCTGAAAATTATGAAGAACCAACAATTCTGGATTGTACAGCGGCAAAAACACAATATGCTCCGAATACAGACAGAACACTCCGAGAGAAATCCAGGAAAATAGCAATAGATACATGCGTACTTCATGTACAACATATTCAAAATTTGGGTCAAACGAGGAAGTTTTGCCAACACAATAAAATGTTGACTCGCATCAACAGTGATACAAGAGTGCTCGAATAGGAAGTCTTCACTTTCTACTGAAAACTGACTATGTCTTGAGGTAAAACTTGAACCTTTGAAAAACCAGGGACAAATTTGAGTTCCAGATGCAATAGAGACTAATGTGAATCAGTGCATGCAAGAAATTGGGTCCACGCCGTTCAGGCTTCAAGGGGGAGAAAAATACATTAAATTCGGCATTGATCATTTGCCTCAAATTTCTTAAACTTCACTCACAACAAGGGGCTTACTTTCATGTTCTGATATTTTCAAAAGTGTATATTGTAAGTTACCGGAGAACATTGCTGTATAAAGACAATACACAAAATGGAATAAAATAAAGACCAGTTCGGGTGTAGAGCCAGGAATGGCATACAGAGATAAGGATCACAAGGAGCTGGAGGGGATGTCTATGGACAACTGCTGTAAGGGTATGAGGCGTGGAGAGCCAGTCAGGCGGTGCGGTGCTGCGGCGCAGCGAAATGCGGGGAAGATTGCAGGGAGGGAAGCAGCGACAACGGCAGCACATCAGGCAGCGCAGTGACGCCAAATGTGGCCGGTGTCGACGGCCGCGTGTACACAAGGTGGGTGTGACATTAAGAGGCTAACTGCGGCGCTGGGGCATGGCGGGATGCAGGTGCGCGAAGCGGCAGCAACGGTGGAGCTGCTCCGGCGTCTCCTTCGGGCGCCCATCAGTAGATTACTCATCATTACCTGTCTATCCTCTACTTCTACATGCTTTAGCTTGTTTCCTGCCCCACCACCGCTCGGAGCTCTCTAACGGCGGCGCAGCAGGCAGTGAAATGGGGCGGGGTTCAGTGGCCGCAAGCGTATACGAAGTGGGTGTGGTGTCGATAGCCCGCTAAGATGCGGCAGGATGCGACGAGATACGGAGGGCGGGAATGGGGGCAACGGCGGCGCGGCAGGGAGTGCGGTGGAGCCACAGGTGACAGGAATCAATGACCTTGGATGTATACGAGCTGGGTGTGATGTGGATAGACAACCGGGAAGCTGGGGTGCGGCAGGATGCGGTGTACAGGGGTCGGGAAGTGGCGGCAACGGCGATGCGGCAGGCAGTGCGGTGACGCCAAATGTGGCGGGCACCGACGGCCGTGTGTGTTCGCGACGCGGGTATAACGTTGAAGGACAACTGGGGCGCTGGGGCACGGCGGAATGCGGCGGGATGCGGGGGGAGGGAATCAGCGGCAACGGCGGCGCGGCAGGCAGCGCAGCGACACCAAATGGGGCGGACGTCGACGGCTGCGGGTGTACACGAGGTGGGTGTGACGTTAAGAGGCCAATTGCGGCGGGTGCGCGGCAGGATGTGGCGGGATGTGGCAGTGGGATGCGGCGGCAGCGGCGACGCACCGGGTAGTACGGTGGGGTCAAAGAGAGTGGGAGACAACTACCATGGTTCGATACGAGATATAAGTAAGTTACCAAGTCCGCTGGCCTGCTGGAGCGTGGCGGAGAGTGGCAGGGGGAAGCGGATCACCCGACAATGGAAAAGCCTGTAGAGGGCCAGAAAACGAGCCATGAGACCAGAGGTTTGAATTATATGAGACCCATGGATGTTAGACAGAGTCTGGTGTAGCTAAATAGAGGGGAAGGAAGCCCCAAGGGCCAGAGCAGGTGGGGAGCGAATGGTGGGAGCAGAGAAGTATTGAGAAATAACAAGAGCAAACAAATCACCCACCTGCCAAAATGGTCGCAGTCGGAAGCCAATTGATGCCGCCGCCGGTCACTTTCAACACCTGTAAGCTAGCAGGTTCGTCCCTGAAGGCTTCAATCAAGGTATCCTACTTTTACAATAGGCGGAATGGAAGGGGCGGGCGACGACCATTTCGGGAGGGCGGGACAGCACAGCCACGCGCTTGCAGAGGAGCGGCGGCCAGCGAGCGGGCAGGCGCACACGGAGAAACCACGGAAAAGGTATGATACTCTCAAATGATACACCATGACATATCTCTCGAGATAGCGATTTATGTATGAGCGCGGATCTCACCTGAGAGCAACATGATGTATCATTTCCCCGCTATAGCCTGGACTTGCTAAGCTGAGGAATAGACTCTTAAGCGCCTTACGTGGCGCCTCTGGGCTCCTCGGCGCTTGCCGAGGTCACGAGGCCTTCGATAAGACGGACATTTTACTATTTTTGCAAATTGTGACGTTCTTCCTCGCGTTTTATTTTTTCGTTTTGGCCTGTAAACCCACTTGCTCTCCTCTCTCTGTCCATGCCAATAGTCTGACGATGATGGTCCCTGTCTGAGGTCTCTGCCGGGCAGCCGTCTGCTCCGAGTAGGGCTCTAACCCGTACCCGTAGCCGACGGGTCACGGGCCGTGGCTACGGCTACGGACCCGTCCGTACAGCGCTTGGTCAGATTTTCCTACGGGTCGGGTACGGAACGGGTAGACTTCTGCGGCCCTGCACGTCTGGCCACGCATCGAGATATCACCTAATCTGCATCAGCAAAAGGTTTGGGATCTATGTCTGGCCTCTTTGGCCGGATATGGGGGGGGTCTGGGTGGCTGTGCTTCTGTCTCCCACTCATCTGCCCCACGACTTCCCATAATATTAGCGAGCTTAAGTTGAGTCAAAGCCCACAATGAACTCTTCAGTGTGCAACAGAAGTCTTTAGAATAGATATAAATTGGCTATTCCATGTGCATGAGCATCTACATATATTTGTTTACTCGGTGTGAAAACCCGTCTTTTACGGCCGTAACCCGTATACGGGTGGAACCCGTCCGGAGAAGGCCTTCGGTCCTGACTTTACGGAACGGGTACGGGACGGGTGGCACCTCTCACGGCCGTAATCACCCGTTCCGTAGTACGGGTCTTACGGGTTAGAGCCCTAGCTCCGAGTCCTTCCAAGTCACTTTGGCCGAGGCGCTCGTGGAGCGATTCTCTGTAGCCATCTCATCACGGACAGGTCTCTTATGAACGACTAACTATCTGCTCATCTTCATGCCGCCACCGGCACGAGTGTAATATTGGACTTGGACCTTTGGGTTGAATGAAGCCTGTTGTGCGCTGCGATGCTTTACTTCACGATCACCGCTACGAGGCTCGTCAAATCTGCTTATATTATGGTGGCATCGGGTTCGAGGCTCACGTTGTACTTCTGCGAGGGCCAACGCTGAGTTAAACTCATTGACTAGCCCAATGACTGCATTTGTGCCGCGTTGACCGATCGCTGAGGGCAAATCCACAAAACCGAAAGGACACCCTTAAAACGTCCTCGGGTGGGTCGAACCACCGAATCTCCTCAGTGGTCGAAATGGACATTAATGTGTGGGAGTGAGCTGCTATACACCATGAGGACATCTTATTCCAATTCAAAAAGGGGATAGGTTAGGTGCGTATCCAGATAAATGCACGATCTTGATGTGCGAGCAGGAGTAGGTGATAGAGGTATGCCCCACTATTCGGCTTCATACTGCACGAAAATGAATAATTCTTGATCAGCTCTCGTGTTATTTCCGTGTTCGGATATTGCACTGAAACAAAATTAGGCGAGGAATGTAATGTCGCACGTCCCCGGATGGATTCGAACCACCGTCTCTCCCACACCGGTCTCGACACTACAGTAGGTGGGAGTGAGTTGCGTTTTATTCCACGAGGACTTTCTGTTTTAGTCCGCCAGCTGCATAGGTGCGTATCCAGATTTAATGCCAATCCTTACGCGAGAAGTTAGTGCACTCACGTCCGTATTTGCCTGCCGTACTGAAAATGAAAATGAAAATGACTAACAATGAATTTCATCTGGATCGTGGAACGTCCTCGGGTGGGTTCGAACCACCGGCCTCTCCGAACATTTACAATGGACCTTCGGCAATGCATGGAATGAGCTTTACTACTCCACGAGGACTTATCCCAACTAAATGAGAAACTCGATAGATGGGTGACAGTATCTAGTATGGACGCGCTTTCAAGTTCACTAGCAGTTGCCCGTGCTTTGCCACGGATCGAACAGCGCTGTACATTCGGTAATACCACTACACCGGTATCTTTATACAATATTTCTACTGGGTTGAATTCTCCCTCAATTTATTGTGAGTATTCTCTCGTAGTGCTGGGGCCGAATTGCAAAGTGTTCTACTCACTTTACTTATTTACCGGGCAAATACGCGATAATTTCTCGTACACTCTTGTTTGTCATGACAGCGAACCGCTCTCGGGCGTCTCGGCCAAGGTGGACTCATTGTCTGCTTCAACTATTCGAGAAATTGGCAAATGTTCTGAACTCATGATTTTTTACTTGGTCTACTCATTGACTTGACCTACCTCCACGATCCTCAGCGGTCTGCACGTCCTTCAGTTCTGCGAGACGTGTCTCACAAAGTACTCCATCTTGTCCGCTTTCGTCGCCAGTTCCAATACATCTCTTCTGGACAGATGTTTAATATCTTGGTCACACAAGGCTTCTCTGCCGAAGGCCACCTCTGAAATATGTGGAAATATATTTCCCTCCCTATAGAATATTAATGAAAGAGAGGACCTTCATCCATCCAGGAGGAATTTTTATTTTCACTGGTAGATATGTAGGTATTCCTGTGCGGTCCCGTTAAGAAACAACCGGGCCCATACTACATACCTGCTTCAAGCGGATGCTACGGATATCGTCAATCTTGTAGTCAGTTTCATATGATATCTGTATTAAATATGATGATAATATCCCGGGTCCAGATCTGAATGTTGTCTTCTATGTCTAACCCGAGATTCAACCATGTTTTGGCCATCTCGGGCGAATTGCTTGTGACGGGCACGACCGTTTATTTGACGGGCACGGACCGTGGCTCAACGGTCCGTTGAGTGGTTCAGAAACTCCCTGACGGCACAGGACGGGCGATGGGGCGGCCGTTACAGGTGCACGGCTGCTCTGAAATTTTATTTGTCAGTTTTTACTGCCAGTCTTCTGCTTTAAGGTACCACAGATGTGTGATACTACTTGCAACTGCTGCAACCGGTGTACTTGCTCCCTACCTCGAGGACTGTGTTAGAGATATCCGAAGGCCACTGCTTGGGTGACTATGGTCAACATGTCTTGGAGGCAAATCATCTTGTTAACAGACCTAGGATTGTTCTGAGGTTTTCTTGCTTTTTTGAAAACCCCTAAAGCAACTGGCGTACATGAAAGTCTGAATGACATCCGGATCAAACTCAGCTATCAGACTTCGGTAATTGCCGAGAAACTCTTATCCAGTAATTCTTGCGTGTAAAGGAAGCAGAACATATAATAGATGGGGTTTCTGTCTACTTGGGTAGTTAGTGTCTCAAAATGCGTCTATTGGTGCTGAAAGTTACAACCCGTTCGACCGGCGTCACGACCGTCTTTCGACGGGCTGCCGGGGTGCAAACCTGTGCCGTCGCCCTGCCGCCGAGCAGCTTGGAAAATTCTCGACGGAACGGGCACGGCGAACAGCCCTACATGATCCATTATGTGGGCTGTGGCTCTGGTCATTTTGTTCTCCTTCATTCTTTTGCTGTCGACTTCTTGGCTACTCACGTGTTCAGAAACCAAAATCAGTTGACTGTTACATTCAGAACTATCTTATGCAGCTTATGAAATCAACACGAAGTTCAACGGCGCTTCGGATATCTCGGCCGAGGTAGCTTAACCGGTAGGCTGCTCCGGAATAGGCCGAATTCTGGCTGGCTATCGACGTGTTTGTTAAGTAGCTACAGCAAGCAAATTGACCCTATGCAGTCAACGGTATAGCCCGATGCTGATCTTCAGATCTCAGAACTACATAGACTTGACCAGCCCGAGACCAGAGAACTGGTGGGACTGGGAAGAGCCGGTTCCAAGAAGTCAACATGGGGACAACAATTGTGGAGTGGAAGACCAACATCTCCACAGTGAACTGCATAGCCGATACCTTGGCTCTGTCAGGGGAACCCCCATCCCGACCCCCATCCAACGCCCTTCCGACCCCTCCGATCCTTCCGGTCGCTCTCCCGGTCACCGGTCTACCGGGACCGGTACCGGAAACCGGCACGTGACCCGATGGCACCTTGCGTGTGATCAAGCCCGGGACATCTGCCGATCACTCCGGTCACATGGTCTTAGCTAGTAGCTTACTTATACCCACGGCTGACGTGGGAATCCTCAGAGTTTCTTCTCTTTGGATCCCCCACGTCAGGTATGCTTCTCTGTATATTTAGCTACTGTCAATTAACCTTTGGATCCCCCACGTCAGTCCCTGAGTACCTCGGGCCTTCGTGGTTGCCCTTACAGGCTCCCACGGGTGCCACTTTTGTCCTGGCCAAACCACGTCTTTTCTTATATAGATACCTTGTTCATTTCATTTGGGAGCTCGAATAGTGGCACTCTTCCTTCCCCCGCCCTCCTGTTCTTGTTTATACGGTAATCTCACGCTTCGGAACAAATAGGGACGGTAAAATTATCGCCTTTTAAAAATGAAATATGCCACCGACCGCATGTACCCGAGGGCATTTGAACCACCGGCGCTTCGCAAACCTGAAGACAACCATGCCAATATTACCTGAGCTTGCTCCAGCAGAGATGCTCAATTCTAGGCTACTCCCGCCCGTCCCGTAAATAATTCATAAATAACTGCTGCAACCAAGCTCCGTCGTCCGAGACGGGCAAACCACAGATTCTAACTCTCCACCACGCATCTTCGCCATCCAAATTTTCTGAGACCTGCCTCGTTCTATGCATCCAACAACCCCGCCGGCCCATGTGGACGTCCTGAGATGGAGTTGATGAACCACCGATTCTCCTGATGCCATTGTCGATGCTTTATTCAACGGGAGCGGGCGTCCGTGCGCTACGAGGATTTTTTTTTTTTTTTTTTTTTTTGGTGGTACGTACAGAGGAGACACCTAACAATTGGCTAGATTCTCAACTGCGTAAGGAGTGGGGGGCCAAAGGCCTCCCACAGAGAGATTGGTCATGATAAGTCCACCGCCCAAGGAAATGCATTTGTGCACGAAGCGGCTTGCAACAGTGTGGGGCTCTGGGCTCACCTGTTTCTACCCCGACGGCCCGAGACCGGCGGTGAAGGAGGTGAGAGCGGCCCAATACCCACTAAAACCTTGGGCACTCTCAGCCAGTTTTCTGGGAGTTTGTCCTCGTCTTGAAGTGTTAATCTCCATGTTTGGAGTACGAGGGTAGGCTTAACAGAGATCTGTTTATCGTACCTTACTTGATTTGACAGTGTGCAGTCACGTCCGAGGCGTTGGTTGATGCGGAATACCCATCTGTTGTGTATCTCAGCGCTAGACAGAGGTTTACCGCCTCCTTGGATTACAATATCGTTTCTAGCCTTCCAGATGAGGAAGATGGATTCAGATATAAGAATACTGTAAAGGCGCGAAGTCCCTGGAAGAAAATTCCCATCATTGTCGCGGAAGGACGCGAGACCGCAGCCTAGGATGTTCCCCAGGGATAAATCGGGCCATCGTGAGTGCTTTCTGAGCCACAAGTCTCTGGTCAATTTCCAGATTAATTCTTGGCCTGGCCGTTTACATTTGAGTAGAATATGCTCTAGATCTTCGGTTTCTTCACAGTATTGACAGATTCCCCATTGTTCGCAGTCGGGAATGTGTTTCCAGAATTCCCCAATGCGGTGTGCACCATGCATTGATTTCCACAGGAAATTGCGGGTTTGTCGAGTGAAGTCCTTATGCCGAATTGACTTCCAGATTTCTGCGGGGAGGGGCAGTCGGTTGAAGTTCTGTTGCATTGCAGCTTGTACTTGTTTGACATTGTTGTCTGTAGCCTTCCGGAACGGCTTGGCTTTCGCTTCTTTGACCCCCATGTACACGATGGCATGGGTCATGGTCGATAGCTTTGCTCCCTCTAACTTAAAGTCATCGGGGATTTCAAAATTCACTTGGTCTGGTTCTACTCTCGTGGCGCCTTGTCGGGCTAGGTCCCGTGCTTCCGTGGTTCCGGCCTTTACGGGTGTACCGTCTGATCCGGTGGTCTTGAAGGTCGTCGCAGCTATGCGTCTCTTCAATGAAGCAGCCAGGGCTTTTAGGGGAATTTTCCCTGTTACTCCTATCCAGCCCTTGTCCTCCCATGTGCTTAGCTGGCCTAGAAGCACTTTTTTCACGGTGTTACTGCAGTAAAAATTGAGCGGTGCTGCTGGGTGCGCTTTGTGGACACTTGTTAAAATTGCAACCAATTCGGCCTCAAAGACCGTCTGGCCAAGGGTCTCCGGGAGTCTTATACTGCAGTTCCTTGGGTCATTGGTGCTGTACCACGCACCGGCTCCTGCCGTCTGTTTTCCTTGCACATCTCTTGTGGTCTTTCCGCTGACATATATATCCGTCGGTATTGGACCGGGATGGACGTTCTGAAATTCTGGGCCGAAAAGTCGGGGTGGTTGGGGTTCTATGGCGGTTTTCCCGGTCAGGATTCGGAAGCCCTCGGTCAGGGATTTAATTTGCTTGGGTGCTTTGTATGCATCTGCTGAGAGCACTTCCGTGCTCCTGTCTGGGTGGTTATCATCATTGGATGGTCGCCGTGGGTCCCATTTTGGGAGCAGTTGGTCTAACTTCGTCGTCGTTGTCCGTGCACAAGAGTGAGGGTTATCACATCCTCTGTAGCGCCGTTCATCTTTGCATCCTAGACATTTGCAGTTTTTATTTGGTTTGTGGTCATCGTAGTGGAGCCGCTTTCGCAGTCTCAACCCTTCACCGATATTCCGTATGTTGTGGTTTTCGCGGAGGCATTTACACGCTAAGGTATTGTTCCGAATTGTTTTCGTTTTATCTTCTCTATCTTCTCCGAAGTGGTGGAAAAGGGGTAACTGTTCTCGTAAGCTCACTGATGGGTCCACCGTATCGAAAGTGACTCCATACTTGTTTGCAGATCTCAGCATTCCCTTGAGGTGT